CTGTTTGTTATATGTTTGATTTCTAACACTGCGCGGAATGTAACATTCGATTGTTAATACTGGTAAAATGATGTAAATAATACTGGTAATAATACTAATTACTGGTATAATAATATTGTCAATAGATGAGGATAATAAAACAATAATAAGATATATTATAATAATAAAAGCTAGATTACCACGTTGACGTGACCTGACGTAGTGCTTTATTTTGCACCGGACTCGCGCGAAGAGGAAACTTAACCAATAATATATATATTATAGATAGTATATAAAAATTTAATGTGAATTAATATATATAATAATTATATTCACTGTACAAGAGAGGAACCAATCAACAATGTCGCATATCAACTGTGATTTACAGTCACCTGGTAGCCGCGTAATAACGCATGAGAGGGTCTACGTATGTCCGCTCGGTACTGTGCCGGAACGGTACCCTCGGTACGGTCCGGTATAGCAGAACGTATACCCTGTACTATTACCGTAACCGTACGGACCTCGCCTACTCCCACATAACGAGTCAAGGAGTCGCCTACGCCACGGTCCTAACCATAACCCTAACCTAACCATATCAGAAGTCCTAGCGTACGTGTCGTATAGAACCGATATCAGGATATATTAATATAAGGATCGCGGCTACCGCCTACTCCTAACCATAACCCTAACCATAACCATCTCAGATGTTACCATCGTACGTTTCGGTATACGGACGCACCAGGTACGTTTCCGGCAGTACCCTGGGGACATATACCCTATGAGCCGTAATAACTGCCGTTATGGATAAAACATTTATACAACCGCACTGATCGCGCCATTATGACCGACCAATCGAAAACGAATGACTTTGATATGTAGCCACGTGACCGAAAAAAGCTAATTCGCCTGGTCACATTTTTTAGTCTATAAAAAATACAAAAACATTCCCCCCCGATCGTTACCTAATACTTGCGCTAGTAATTAACCTAATGATAACAGTTAGATAATTAGCAGTATGAGAACAGGTAGATAATTAGCAGTATGAGGGACTGATCGTAATTTATCTGTTTATCTGTACATGCATCTGATATCCGTACAATATAAGATTTGGTAGATATAGAGAAACTGTCCTGCTACACTGCCTAAGTATATATATTATCCTTATAACATTCAAGTAAAATATTGAGATTCCCCCAGCTTTAGACAGAATTTGCGCTCACTTTACCACCACCACCTCTACGTACAATGAAGCTTTACCCACTCCCCTCATATCATACAGAGATCTTATAGCTATCTCTATAACTAGTGTCACTCCTGAGTAGGTGTAAGATATATCTCAGGTGTGGTTGAAGGAAGAGTGAAGGTGAGTGGCCATGCTAGAGCGAGATTTCCCGGTGTATTTTCGGCGTAAATTATTGAAGACCTAAATAACGGTTAATGATTAATGAACATGCTTTATTAAAGAATCATAGGCGCATGCCCTAACATTACGATAGAACACTGTGAACTGCCAACATAAGTGGTGTGACAGTAAGCACCGTGCTATGGCTACTACACTATCGCAGTGTGTTTGTCATTGTGTGTGTGTGTTGTGTGTGGGGGTGTATGGTGTGTGTGTGTTGTTGGTGTGTTGTCTCTCTTGCTGCTGTTTGCGTTGTGTGTGTGTTGTGCTGTGTGTGTGTGTTGTGTCCTCTCTTGCTGTGTGCGTGTGTGATGTTGTGGTGTGCTGGTGCTGTTGTCGTGATGTGTGTGTGGTGTGTGGGAGTGTGTGTGTTGTGTGTGGTGGTGTGTGTTGTTGTCCTTCTGCGTGGTTCGGTGCGTTGATTGTGGTGAGTGTGTGGGTGGTGTGTGTGCTGTGTATGTTTGTGTGTGTGATTTCGCGCGCCCCGCGCGCCTATGTCTCTACTACAATATATATGTCATTATCGCTGCAAGTTATTACCTGGTATCAGTTATTGATATTTTTATCATCTATTAAATAAATCTTTAGTATACAGTGAAACACTATTAGTTTCGGTAACACACCATACGCGAACACACGTACGCGCACACGCACACACAGCCGCGCACGTACACCCGCACACTTACACACACACGCGCACGCCACACACACACAGCACACACACAAACAACACAGTGCACACACACGCGCACGCGCACACACACCGTGCCACACCGCACAACCACAGCACGCACACACACACACACACACAGACACACACACCACACACATCACACACACACACCACACACAGCCGAACACATCCGAGACACAAAAATCCCACGAAAACCCAACGAATCATTTTATACACATGTCATAATATACAAAAAACGGGATTAGAAAAATGGTACAAACTACAGAAAAAACACTATTCGCGTCCCCGAGGAAAGCAGGCCGCGAAGGTTGTAGGATTTTTTGTGGGGAGTAGAAGGAGGAGAGAAGAAGAGAGGAGGAAGGAGGAGGGAAGAAACATCAATCATATGTCATTAGTTTAACTGCCTGAGTTCACTGATAATGACAGCACTCACGCACCTGATCTACACCAGCTTCCCGCGTAGGCGCTGCAAGTTTTGCCAAAACTCGAATAAAACACTTCCAATCGTACAAACACCTTCCCTTAAGGCTTTAACGCGGGCTGGGGAAGGGGGGGGCGGTGGGGCGGCTGGGAGAAGGGGGTGGGCAGATAATACTTTAACAGCTAGCATGGCGACTATCAACAGCGACGTGCCTCATCAGTTCATCTAGGCAATTACTATTAGTGGAATTATCACTACTGTCTCTCACTCTCCTCTCTCCTCTCTCTCCTCTCTGTCTGTCTTCGTCTTCTCTCTCTCTCTCTGGTTGTCTGTCTGTCTCCTCTCTCCACCCTCCTCTCGTCTCTCTCTCCTGACGTCTGTCTGTCTGGTCTTCCTGCTCTCGCTCTCTCTCTGTCGTCTTCTTCTCTCTCTCTCTCGTCATCTCCGTCTCTCTCTCTCTCTCCTCTCTCTCTCTCCTCTCTCTCTCTCCTCTTTCTCTCTCCTCTCTCTTCTCTCTGTCCCTGTCTGTCTGTCTGTCCTGTCTTTCTCTCTCCTCTCTCGTCTCTCTCTCTCTCTCTCGTTCTCTCTTCTTCTGTCTGTCTTTCCTCTCTCTCTCTCTCTCGTCGACTCTCGCTCTCTCTCTCTCCTCCTCTGCTCTCTCTCTCTGTCTGTCTGCTCTCTCTCGTCTCTCTCTCTCCTCTCTCTCTCTTCTGTCTTCTCTCTCTGGTCTCTCCTCTCTCTCTACTCGCGAGCCGCAGGAGATGCGGCTGACATAATATTTGTCGACAATTTGAGAGTGTGTTTGATATTGATTGAAATACCGGAATACCCCGTGCTACAACGGAAAACACGTTATTTATCTTTTCGCCTCGCTCTCGTCTCTCTCTCCCTCGTCTCTCCCATCTCTCCTCTCTCTCTCGCTCCTCTCTCTCTCTCCGTCGCTCTCTCTCTCTCTCTCTCTCTCTCTCTCCTCTCTCTCTGCTCGTCTTCTCCCCTCTCTCTTTCTCTATGTCTCTTTCTTTCTGCATCTCTCTCGCTCTCTCTCTCTCTCTCTCTCCCTCTCTCTCTCTATGCTCTTTCTCTCTTCTCTCCTCTCCACCTCTCTCTCCTCTCTCCTCTCTCTCTCCTCTCTCTCATACACACGCGCACCACTCAATATAGAATATATATATATTATATAGATATAGTAGTATATTATATATATATGCTCCAGCCGTCTCGAGTGGCCCCGCTAGCGAACGTGAGAGAGAGAGAGAGAGAGCGAGAGCGAAAGAGAGACGAAGAAAGAGAGAGAGAGAGCGCGCGCACCGGACCGCATGTGCATTAGCACAACCATGTGATTTGCCCTAACAACACCACCGTGACTTCTCACCCTCTCCAACACACCATTTTGAGTTAGTGCGAGACAAGAAGAATAAAATGAAGAGAAGGGAGGAAGATGGGGAGGATCGAGAAAGAGGAGAAGGCATCGAAGAGCAGGAAGGCAGGCGCGGAAAGTCGAGTAGCTGAGAGGGAAGGGCGACAGTCGGGAAGAGGAAGAGAAAAGAAAGACGAAAGTAGCGAGAGGAAGAATAAAAAAGGAGGATATGGCGAGACAAGAGCAGCGAAAAGAAAATAAGAAAGAAGTAGCAACAGAAAAGCCAGAAGAGGAGGAGAAGGAGGGGGCGAACCGCCGCTGCCGCGCTGCTCTACACACGCCTTCAGGGCTTCATTAGAGCGGAGATGCAGCGTCACTCTGGCGATGAACACCAATCATTAATAACGGTGAGAGTGCTAGAGAATAATGGGTCTGACGCGAGCGCGAACATCATTACGAACTAGCTGGAGGATTTGCAGACAGCACAGCATGCAACAGCAAGCCAGCAGCAGCAGCAAACAGCACAAGCAGCGCCACACATCCCATAGTATTAGCAGCACACCAGACTGCGTTGGGAGGCACCCCCGTAACCCAGGGCCTCCTCCTCCTCCTCTCTCCTCCCTACTCTTCCTTATCCTCTATCTCTCATCCTCCTCCTCCTCCTCTCCTCCCCCCATCCATCATCTCTCTCCTCTTCCCTCCTTTATCTCCTCATCCTCCTCCTCTCTCTCTAACCTTCTCCTCCTCCCCCCCTCCTCCTCCTCGTCCTCTCTTTCTCCTCCTCCCACTCCCCCTCATTCATCTCCCCCCTTATCTCCTCTGCCTCTCGTCTAATTCTTCCTCTCCTCTCGACCTTGGTCGATAACGGCGACAACTACAACACATATAATCAGACCTGCAATGCAAAACCGAGCACTTTATTACTACGACTACGTTTCTATTCGTCACGTAATGTCGTGTGTTATACTATTGCCGATTATGCACGTGAATACGTGTAGGTTAGATACTAAATATGACCTATAACGTACACTATCGAACCTAAATATGCCCGACATATAATACAATATATATAATAATACATAATATATATATATATATATAGTATATAAATATATTAGTATATTATAGTAGATATATATATTTGGCATAATAAATTAATATCGTATAACCGAAATATATCCACACTATAATAGTATGCCATCAAACGCAATAATAATAAATCGATACACCGTAAGAATTATAATACAGCTCGCACACACGCATGCACGCACTCAGGCTACGCACGCACGCAGGCTACCGTCGTTGACGCCACATTACCGTGTGTACATGCGCGTGTAAAGTAGAGTGGTGCATTCATCCACACTCAAAAGCGTCACGAAGCAAGACTTTTGTTTGTACACTATAAACACACCGTTCCGTGAAAGAATACTTTACATTTCTTTACATCGGGTTAGTAAATTTGAAGCTTTCTCTACTGAAATCCGCAGTGTTGACCTTGTGTCTATTTGATCAACTTTGTCTCCCTCTCCGTCTTCGATATCGTCCCTTGCATGGACGTTGAAGACTAATAATTATGAGGTTGTGACTGGATTCCTACCGAGTTACGATAAAATATTCGGCGGTGTCAACCGTTCATTCGTTTAAGTTTTTCGTAACATTTTTCGTCGTATTCTATTTCGTATAGAAATATTAAAATAAATAATGGAGATGCGATCCTTGGTCCAAACGTACGCAATGCTGCCGCGAATAACTAACGCAACGATTCCGCGTATTTGCACGTGAAACTCTCCACAAGAGTGCAGCACTTACATACTTCCGATAGTAACAGTTCCTTAACAACTACGCGCACACTTCGTGGGAACCCGGTAACCGTGTATTTATCATAGTGATAGACTATCACTGATAGTAGGAGCGTAGCTAATCCATTTTGCCCGAGGGTGGGCAAAGCCACGTGCGGGTGGTGTTCTGGGAAAGTGACCGCCATTGATCATGTTATGTATTGTATATACAATTCTATGGGGGTGGGGATATCTGCCCCCAGGCGTTCGGACTGCCAATCAGGCGTCCTCCGGTTTGTCGGTGAATCTAACTGGATCACATGTTGATGTCAAGTTGACAGGCTGATGTCAAGTCGACGATGGGCAGTGTGACTCTGGGCAGTGTGACTCGCAGGAGTCAAGATGGCTGCCGACCCCTTGTGACCTTGTGACTCACTTGTGACCGTTCATCGTGCCGCGGTGCATCTGTGCTGCCATCTGGGAGAGCATCTGTTGCATGCGAGCGATCTGCAGCAATGAATTACGAGAGCGTTGAGCTTTTGACGTTCGGTTGAAAATTATTGCGAATTAGCGAGAAAATAGGTTAATATTGCAAATTAACGTTGCCTTGTGCCTCTTGTTCATGCTTTACATTATGGCTACAGATGCAAAATCTTCCATATCATGTACATGCGAATTATACATATGATATTGGGAATGAATAACCACAAATTTGTGATTAACTACTCCTGAAGATACATTATATTATATTATATTATATTATATTGTTATATTATAAATATTTCTATTATTTTGGTTATATAATTAGTATGTTAGCATTATAAGGTTAATATCGGTCATCTTCCATGTTTTACCTCCTCGTCTTTCTCACGCAGCAGGCGGTCTGCATCTGACATGGCCTCAAAGTTACAGGAATCCCTCTTTAATTTGCTGCAAGGCGATAACGAACAAAACTAATTAGCATATTCCTCTAGAACCTGGTCCACCAAATGGGACAGTTGTCGATTTAATCAGTTTTGACCACTGCCCAACACCAACATAAACTAATTTAATGCAGCAGTTCGTTGCTTCCAGAAAGATCCATCGAGTTAAAAAACAAAACAAAAACTTGGGAGTTACCATTATTTCTGTCAAATGCTTAGGACGAAAAGTTGACACTGTGACTAATCAGGGTAACCAACTTTGTTCTGAACAACAGCCCCTGATCATTGTTGTTCTGAACAAAAGACCCTGATAATTGTTCTTCTGAACCGATCAGGGGCTGTTCAGAAGGACAATGGTTGTGGGCTGTTGTTCAGAACAATGATAGTTGTGGCCTGTTGTTAAGAACAATGATAGTTGTGGCCTGTTGTTCAGAACAATGATAGTTGTGGCCTGTTGTTCAGAACAATGATAGTTGTGGCCTGTTGTTCAGAACAACAATGATCAGGGGCTGTTCAGAACAATGATGGTTTTGTGGCATTAATTGTTCTGAACGACAGTGAGAACACGTGTGTGAGCGGCGTACGTTCGTTCGCGGGTGGTCTGTGCAGTGATGTTGCTGATGCACCGGGACCTGTAGTTCTCATAGTGAACGTCCTGCGTCATGTCCTTCAGATCGTGCATGTGGGTGCTGCAAACATCAATAATAATAATAATAATAATAATAATAATAATATTATTAATAGTAATAGCATGATCTCTCATGCTGCAAAAAATTCTGGATTGAATCCCTA